GAAACCGAACCCTTGTAGGATGTTTAATAACTCACTGAGGTCTATCGTTTGGGCATATATTCGATTCAAAAGCGAGGGGACAGTTGGGGACCTTCCCTCATCAGTAAAACCTTCAATATGTCATCACTATAATTCATGAAAAAGACTAGTGTAGACCATAGCAATGATATATATTTATCAGAAAATTTTTAACTTATAGTACGTTTTCGTTTGTGATATGATACAGTGAGATACATGGTCAAAATCGTTGTATTATCTAGGAACTTGAAAATTCAATATCTCAGGACAGAAAGGTCATGGGCCTGAATTCTTTTCGGGTTGTTATAGTCTAGAAGTTCCTCTATATACCCAAAGTATGAGCTCAAAAGTGGTGAATTACTTCGGACGGTTTCCTCGTCAGTCGCAACTCATCCGATAGAGCTGGAACTTCTTTTACAGATATTAGACACTGCTTGGAGTGCCGACTTTTTTGGCTTCTTTTTATCTCCTTCTATTCAATTATAAATATCAAAATCTTCAGCGTGCTTCCAGAAATACATGTTTTTTTTTCACTAGAACTTTCTTGGTAAAATTTTCTAACAATCAACGATGCAATATTTTTCAAAACAAAAATAAAGTAAACGTTTAAAACAGTATTCAGTATCTGTAAAAGAAAAATATTTTAACTCGATCGAACGTACTATGTCGGAGAAACGGGGACAATTCTGTAATTTTGTCTCTAAAAATTGATTTTGAGAAAAATGAAAAGAAATTTTCATATAATCTATCAGGATGTTTTTTCTCCAACGAAAGTGATCAAAAATTGGGCATTTTCAGCGATGTTAGAGATCTATGATCCACGTTATCGGCACCTCTAGAATGAGAAATAATCATTATCATTAGGAAAATGTTGTATATGAAGAATAATCGCAACGACAGTTTTTCTGCTAGGGATTTCGAGAGTTGGATTTAATAAAAGTACAAACTAACAATGAAGAGTCCTCATTGACATAACATTTGACAAAGGGCACTGCGAAGCTATATTAGCAATGAAAAACCAAAAGCGAAAAAAAAAATTGATTTTAACATCTGGAAAGTTGAACACTTTCTGTAATATGTAAATTCTCTTCTAAAGACCATTTTTTGATGAAATGTTTTCATTTTCACGAGTATAATTCATTTATATTATTTTATTTTCTGTAATAATGAAATTCGATGTTTTAATCTTGATGGCACATAAATTTTTTTGTTTTCATTTCGATATACAATCCTAATAAAAGTGAATGACGAGCACACACCTGTTTGTGAATCTAAATTAGTTCGATTTAGCTATCGTTTGATTGGAAAAGAAAGCGTGTCAAATATTTTTTTATATTCTATTTCGAATGCATCATTGAAATTAATAGGAGGCTTTGAAAGGCTTAAGTAAGATTGATTTATAAAGAGAAGAAAATATAAGTACATATAAAATAAACTTTTATTGTGTTTGAATTTTCCTTTGTTACTATGTTGCTAAGATTTTGCTCACTTCTTCTTTTTATTATCTTAATAAATGCTGAACAATTTCAACCTGATTGGGAACTTGATTATTTATTTCCATCAATGATTCATGAGCCAGCTTTAAAATTAACACCACCATATAAACGTGGCACCTATTTACACTCCTTTACTATTCCTCCTCCAAGTAAAATTTATGGACCACATGTAGCTTTCTACCTGTTTGCTGGCCAACCGAAGAGTAAAACGGCTGAAATTGTTTTGACTCAAGATGGTGAATTTTTTCAAACATTATCTGAAAAACAATATTGGCAATCAGAAAAAATACCAATACCATTATCAATGAATGAAACAATAATTGATCTATATATTCGAGATGGTGATACTGTTGGCCCACTTTATATTATTTATGCCAAACGAGCAACTGAGTAATTATGTCAAAATATCTGCAAAACGATCCAGAGAAAGAAAAAAGAAAAATATTTTTATGTCTATTCTATGAATTTATTTTCTGTCTCTTTTTGTATTGTGATTAAAATCAATGCAGAATTAAGAAATCATTATTTTAATAATAACTAAATATCAAATAAAGCAAAGATTAATTCGATATATACTTTCTTTATTATAAAAGAAAAACTAGCGAACATATACATTGACAATCATAGAAGCAGAGTTTGAAATGGATGTAAAAAGGAACCTTTCTTTAAATCCTGTACGAACATCATTCATTCATATTTGAATTGCAATACAAAATTTTTGGATGATCATGAAAATTGTATCATGTCATCACGACTACCATCGTTAGATGTGGACATCGATAGTAGATTATAACATTCTGATGAATCGCATAATCTTGATTTTCTATTCCGAACGTCATATTCTTCATACATTGTATGTTGTAATAATAGAAAAGCATTATGATGGAAGCCAGAATGTCATTACTTCACATAATATAAGTTCAGCGGGTAGTGCTACCAATATCAGTACAGTCATGATAGAGAATAAAAATGTGATCGTCTATACAGAAATAATTATCATTATCAAACTTCGATTTTATATAAGTTCACATTATAAGGTGAAATTGAAATTTAATCGAAGAAAAATCTTTCATAGAGAATTCATTCCAATCCTAGATTTCAGTACTATTTTCTAAACTTTTTTTGAGTTCTGAGAGTTTGGACGGGAATTTTTCTTTTTTGTGAAAAAGAACGTGTCATTGAAATAGTACTCAGCATGTTTGCACTTGAAAAGATTCATGAAATGGTATCACAATGTTAAACTTGATTCTTATTTCAAATTATGAGATCTTTTTAAATATGAGAGATAAACCTACATAAGAGAATGCATAATAGAGAGATGTAGAAAAATGAACAGAGGACATTACAGAAGAAAAGAAATAATTTGTGTTAATTATTTTTTGACTAATTATTTGAAATTGAAATAAGAACAGGAAAAACAGCATGAGAGAGAAAAGAAAGATACTATATAAACATGATTCTATCTCTCTATTAGAAAGAAAATGAAGATATGATAGAAATGTCATTTAATCTGATCAATCGGAAGAAAAATAAAGAATGCTTTTAGCATTTTCAGAAAAATAATCTTGAAACGATTATTTAATCAGAAAAAGAAGGACAAGTCATTGTTCTTGGATACCAAATTATCAACAAAAATATTATGATAAAATCTCTTATGTGAATTTGCGAATGCTTCTTTACAATGAACATAGAGGAGCAAAATATTAGAAAACAGGAGTGATCAAATCCTATAAATTTTCAGTTCTTGGAACTTTCTGAATTCTAGATACCTACGATCGATATAAAAACTTACGTGAGTATACCATAAAATTTACTGTGACTTAATGTTTATAGAGAACTTCGAGAAATTAAAGAACTCGAGAACGTGCAGAACTCAAGCGAATTAACGAATTCAAGAGATCCAAGAATTCACGAAACTTAAGAAACTCTTAGAATTTATGGAACTTTTGGAGTTCTATTAGTTTCTCAGAAGAGTAGCTCAATGTCTTTAGAAACTACCTAGTTCATATTGTGAAGATCTTTGAATTTCTATACATAAATTAACTGATCAAAAAAATAAATAATGAATGTCTTACTAATGCAGTTTCTAAAGAAGTTTCAGGAATGTATTGAAAAAACTTTTAACTAATTGTTAGAAAGAATTGAATATTATATTAATAATCATGGCAAGTATCTTAAGCAAGCATTGAATGAAATAAAATGAAACATAGATCCTTATTTTTAACTTTTCACTTTTTATTATCAAAAATTTTTGTACAGTATTTTATTTGCTTGCAACTATTCCAATCTTTATATGATATCTATTTGTGACTTTCGATCTCTTTGAAATTGAAATGATAATTTCAATACATATTCAAATGGATTATTCATGGCTCGTTTATTCAAAGTATTTCACACTCGTTATTCCATGTAGTAAAAAAAGAAGATCATCATCAAATGATTTATTCATAGATGTCTCTGTACACATCTTTAACTTATGCACAAATATTCTATACTTTCATATTTAATCGCTTCAATAAAAATGCACATTTAAGACTTTCATTGTATTGTCGATCTTCGACTACTTGTTTCTCATCGAGTTTCATCTCTTTGTCCGTCAATGTATCAATATTCGATGTTTGTCTATGTCTACTAGATGTTCGTCTTAATCAATTGGTTCAACTCATTGTTAATATTCATTCTATTAATACTTTGTCATTCAATATTGATAATACAATAAGTAATCTTGCTTTAAATCAACGAATTTTTGTTCTGTTTTGGAAATAATCGATCGATAATATTTTTCTGGTACTTTCTGTAAAAAAGTTTTTTGCTTTCTTTTTTATAAGAAACCATTTTCCCCATACTTAGAAAATTGATTAAACAAAGATTAGACAATATACTAGAAAAATGTATAATACATAATTCAATCCATCTTCATCTCCTCTTTCGAACAATGAAAGTCGCAGCTCTCTACCTTGTTTTTATCAAAGATTATTCAAAAAAACAAATCTTATCAAAAATTTATTATCATGATATTAGTTGAAGTATGATAAAATAGCATAGAAAAGTAGAGCATTCTTTTCTCTATCAGACTATAGAGAGAGAAAATTTCTTAAAGCTTTTTATAAGAAATTACAGTATCGGCGACACTACTTTTGGATTGCCCTAAGTAGTTTTGTAAATATTAAACATTGTCTTAAACAATTGTCATGCAACATACTATTTCATTTTTATACTATGCATTGGAAAACTTCATGATCGTTGTTACTATATGCATGACATGTAGCACATATCAAACTAATGATAGTCGTTAGTCAAAACGACTGTCGGAGAGAATTTCAGTAGAGTACAAATTAAGAATCGACGAAATGTCATTCATGAATCGTCATTTTCAATAGAAATCGAGGAAAAATCGTCCTTTTCGATGATCTCATCGCAATATCATCTCATAATTAAGTGGACTAATCAATCAGAATAACATTATTTATTTTTAAGCAATTTCAACCACATGGAAAAGTTTCTATAAAGTATTTCTATATGTGAAAAAAAAATAAATGGTTACTTTTTGCATATGTAAGAGTCAAAATTTTTCTTATTTATACTGATTTCAAAGTAATGAAAGTAAACAATCATGCATGTTATAACACATAGCTCAGCTAATGATATGGAGAAAGAAAACAAAAAATGTCTTCATTTTTATTACATGAACTATATTTACGAGAACAGGTAATCAAGAAAATTTTACATCATCACTGCAGACATCATAGGCCTCAAATAGATAATTAGCTAGTCAGATACATTAATGAATTCTTTCAACATGATATATTGTCCAAAAATAATGTATACAATCATAAGACTTCTTAAACTGTGCTAATGGACAAAATACAACTGAATTGGCTACAGCCTGATTACGGATACTTTTTCGGATCAATTAAGGAAAAATATCCGCAAAGCAGAATCAAGATAGAGAGATGAAAATGTCCGTATTGCAGAATCAAGAAAAAATTTATTATGTGAAGAACTACAAAGATATGAGTAGTACAGGATGATTAAATATTTAACTATTTTTAGATTCATAATCTAGATCATCCTTGTCAGATGTGTCCAATATATGAATGAATCGGTAACAAAGAGAACCCAATCTCTTTTGATAACCATTTAAATAATCTTGTTTGGCTTGCACTAAAATGTTATCATTTATTAACTGATGTTAATCTTCTAGGACGTGTTGATCTTTTTTGAGTTTATTCTTCTTCTAATCTAATTATTACTGACTCAACAGTCTCTTGAATATATTTTACCGAAGACCAAAGGTTTGGATGTGTTGGACAATGGAAATTCAATTGGCCATGATACTTCTTCAATATATGTATGAAGAACATAATCTGTTAATTTACGATATTGTTCATGTATATTGCTTAAGTTTTCAATGATATCACAATAAGCATTATTAATTTCATCCGATGGTAACACTAGTAACATCAAAATATTGACAATTTGTCGTTGAACATTAGACTCGCTAGATACAGATGATATCCTCTCTTGAGTCGAACTGTCTGGACTATTTATCTTACTATTTCTACTTTTTGCTTGTTTCCATAATGCGGACATTTTTATTTCTCTACCTCGATTCTACATTGCGGACAATTTCCACTGTGCGATCATTTTTTTCTCTCTTCCTCGACTTTGGTTAGCGGACATTTTTTCCTACAATTAAGAAGAATTGTCCGCAATCAAGAAGACACGGCTGAATTAAGTCTTCTGCTTGATCATACATATCAAAAACACAATAATCAATAGAAAAACATTTGTTTTCTTCATCAACAGACAATGATGAAAGAAGAAATAGAATTCAAAATAGTTTTTATGATTAACACTGATAAAAATCTCTTTTGTTTTGACAAATCATTATTCATATATATATATGTATGTGCAATGAATTTATTTTAGTTTCTTTTTTTTGTATATTATTTCATTACAAGATTAAAATCTAGTTAACCAAGACGATAACGAAATAGTACTGGATGTTTTCCAATTGATTGTCTTTCATGTATATCTTCTTTAATTTGTTCATCTTGATAACGTCGATTTGTATTATATTTATCAAGAATTTGTTGAATAAATGTAATATCAATTGGTTGTGAAAAACAAATTTTTGTTGAATCTTCATAAATAATATCAATTTTTTTTTCTTGTAAATAACTCATAAGAGTTATAAGAAATGTTTCAAGATCAATTGATCGATTTACAAGATTTTTATCAGGATTTTCTAATTGATCTCTATCTTGATTTGCTCGTTTACCTAAACGAGGTGAAAAAGCTATTGAATTTTTTGTTGAATAACGTACATTATCACGAACTGGTCGCCAATAATTAAAATATGGACGAGAAATTGATGCTCGTTGATTTCGA